CTTGAGCGATAAGACGTGCATATGCGAAGAGTTAACGCTCCTAAAGATACCATGCTCCCATGCGGTGGGAGCATGCGTGAAGGCTGACATGAAGGTGGAGAGGCTTGTCGCTAATGAATATGGTACTTTCTTCTTGAAAGTAGCCTACCTTGAGAGCATAAACCTGGTACCAGATTGGAACACGGTGTACCCGATACCGGATGCAATTGCTTCACTTTCCATTATGCCACCAATGACAAGGAGGCCACCAGGTAGGCCAAAGCGTTGTACATACCTTTCAACTAGGAAGTTTAAGGTATAATATAGATAATGAAGAAGTAAAATGAAAATAAAATATACATCAATCACAAAATAGTTAAGTATACGAAAATATAGCAGTAAGTGAAAAAAAAAATAGATAACTATTATTTTTTTGCTAAACAGAGACCGAAGAAAGCGGAGAGGTGAACGTGTACACGATGCCGGGGAGCAGGACATAACAGGGCCTCCTATTAAATGTCCATCTAAATCAACAAAAGGGCATTTGGTAAGTCATATATATATAATTTAAAGTATTTTTGTATGGGTTGGGAATTGAAATATGAGTAACTCAAATATCTACTATGTTGAAACAGGTAATAGCTGCATATTTTGAGTGTGTAAAGCAGCAATCGAGTATTAAGTACAACTAGAAGATGAAGTTCTCAAGCGCGGTTAGGGCTTAAAGAAGTGGCAAGTTTTTGTTTGGTGGGTGGCCTAAGCCACCAAACATTTCCACAAGTTTGGTTGTAAAATACGATGTGCCCAATCGCTTTTAAGTTTTTACACTTTGTAGCTAAGTCCTGCATGCGGGAGATGTGTAATATGCCTTAGGGCGAAACTTTTCTATGAATGTAAGATATTTCAGTTACTACCTAGAATTACAAACTTACGAAGGTAGTGCGGTATATGAGAACATAGAGCTCTAATTTGAAAATACCGGTTTAAGATAAAGGATAAAGGGGAATATTGAAGACATAATAGATTGCTTCCAAAAAAATTAGGGTGCTATTCTGAGATAATAGCTAAAATTACAGGATAATTCATTTGATTTTTTAACAAATAAGTTATGACTTAAGAAAAAATTACAAATAAAATGATATATTATACAGAAAATTACAGGTTAAAAAAAAATTAGACAGCTTTGTTACGGTTTAACCTGCTATTTTTATATATAACCGATGAAAATAACATATATAAGAAGAGAGAATTATATTCCCTTACATGATACAATGACCAAATCATAGATGGAACGTACTTTAAATAACACAATTAACACAACAAAACAAACCATTCATAATTGAATTATTCTTAACAAACACTGTCTAAACAAAAGCAAATAGTTAGTCTTAAAAAAAACATAAAGAGTCGGAAGTCAGAGTAAAACAAAGAAAATAGTACAGACTGAAATAAAACCGTAAACAATTCGAGAAGGAACAACAGACATAACTAAACGTCGCTAAGATCAATATCACCACAGCAATGCACATACATGTCAACAATAAGCTGCTCCGCCCGCTCCCGGAGGATCACTTTTTTGACTTCATAAACCTCGTCAATTCCACCTATAACATGAGCCTCAATAAATAAAAGAGACAATATACATGTATCAGCTCGAGATGAAGCCTGCACAACTGACGTATCCTTTTTGAAAGAAATAACTTTAGTAGAGAAGTTCTTCATGCCATTATTGACAGAACTCTTGCGTACAAGAAACGGGAACATCTCGCAAATAAAGTCAAGCTTTGATTTCAACTGGGAGCTACGCATCTCAGAAGCAGATGGATCAAAGACAGTCATGAGGTGGGAGAAAAATTCAATGGAAACACCAACCCAACGGGTGCGGTCAATGTTAAATGGAAAATAGATTGAGTCAATGTCCTTAATCCATTGCTTCTCAGTCTCCTTCATCCTTATGCGTACAACATCAACAAAATCTGGGTCAAACTCAAAAGAATCTTTACGAGAAATCTTCTTAAATTTAGATAACTGCTTCGCAAGAGACACAACAAAGCCACAGTGTAAGATGTTTGCTCTAACATTAGAAGTTAAGTTTGGACCACTAAGAATTACATCCCTCATAACCATCACACATGAGTCCATCACCTACAATATCAAAGAGAACCTAAGAATATATTTTTATTCTAACTAAACAAAACAAAATTAAATAAGAGGAACATAAAATCTTACACATGGATCAATAGATATCGGAATGGTTAAAAGATCACCATCCTTCAAATAACGACTAGCACCAAAGTCAAGCTCCCTAATTTATGAATATATATACATCAATATATGTACAGCGTTACAGCAATAAAAATCCATCTACAAATATAGATAGATATGTATAATAAAGAATAACATGTTAACTGATATCATATAGGTCTAAGAAATCGAATAAACCACCTTGATTGTTCGGTTTTCTAGCAGATAGCTACGAATTTGGGGTTAGTTGCCGATCAGAGAAGCACGTCAACACCATTCACATCAGCATCACCAGTAGACTAGTGGAAAAAATAAGTAGGGAAATTTGAGTGAAAATGTAATCAAATAAAAAGAAATAATAACATGATTAAGAAAATTATATACTTTCTGAACCGGAGCTGACTCAGGCACAACAGGGTTACCAGTACATAAATCATCATCCCCAGAGTTACCAGTACATAAATCATCATCCTGCAAAATAGATTTAATAAGCAAACATAATGTAAAACACATTTAAAAGTATAAAGTAGTAGTAGAGAAGTGAATTACCGAAGTAATATCACCATCTACCTCCATCGGCTTCTTCGGAGATTTCTTATCACCAACTGCTGATCCCTCAGGAACATTTTCTCCAGGTTCATCAAAAACACCATCACAGGAACGAAAAATTTTCAAAACTTCTTTAACTACTTCATCAGCGTCCTTAGATTTCAAACAATCCCTGACCAATGAAGGGACGACTTTCTCCAATTTCATATCAAGGCGGGACTCAACATGCTGAAAACCAGAATGAACACTGTTTGCAATCATGGTCTTACACTCAGACATTACAACCTTAATCTGACATGAAACAACCTCTAGTATCTTAGATTTGGCATCAGAAGAAATAGGTCGATCACGCGAACAGTGTAGCCGGGCCTTCTTGGTTCTAGAAGATCCAACCAATTCACTTTCATCCAAACATGATTTAGATTCCCCTTTCCTCTTTGCTTTACCAGGATTCTTGCTATTTGGAGCAGCAGGTGCTCCATATCCTCTTTGTCCACCTTCAAACATGTCACATGAGAAAATAACACCATCATTAATTAGCTTCTCCATGTGTGCGACTGAAGTATCATCACCTTCATCAGCCCAGCTATAATCATCTGTCTCGCCATCTCGCCTCCGGGAGTTGGGAGTATGGAAATAATATCAACCTAACATGGGGGGACAAAAAAGGGAATACATGTTTAAGCAAAATATAGATCTGTAAAAATAAACATAGTCACCTAAATGGTAACAAAACCAACATCTTAAATGAAAAAATACTTAGACATCTACTTACATACGTAGATGCTAAAAATACTTAGACACCTACTTACATAAGTAGATGCTACTTAACCATATAGAGATATCATACCGTGTCTTCCTCATCAAGTTCCCATAGTTTTTCGAGTTTTAAGGCAATAACGGGACGACTTTCTTCATCTCCGGATTCCGGATCAGTACCATCACCAACTGCGAGAGATGCA